ATGAGATTCCAAAGAGAAAAATTCTGACTGGCGATCCATATATTTCATGTAGGGGAAGAATAAGTCTGACCTGAGCTGTTATTTGGCCAAAAAAACCCTGCAGTAACTCCCATCCACCACCTCCGGTGGATGTCTGGTTATTTTTGTGGCGATGCCAGTATTCATGTTTTGGGGCTGAGACTTCATTATAGAATGTTTACATGTAAAGAAAATGAAATGTCACTTTAAATTTGACGCGTGTGTCACAACTGAGGAAAATGAAATGGGTTTTTAGCAGGCGTGGTTTTTGTTTCAGGAAAGGCGGGGGTGTAATGATCCGAACACTGAGATACTGTCTTTGGTGGCTGTGGTTTCTTCCAGCCAACACTCAAGACGCCCTATTAGTACTGGTCGTCAGAAGTCAGGAGGTGCTGCCCTGCACCAGAAACAGATCTGACTTGTGCTAACAGAAAGCAAAAACTATTATCAAGCTGAGTGCTGGTGGCTCACACCTGTCATCCTAGCTACTCAGGGGGCTGAGATCTGAGGATTGCAGTTCAAACCCAGCGTGGGCAGGAAAGTCTGTGAAACTCATCTCCAATAAACCACCAGAAAACCAGAAGTGGCGCTGTAGAACAAGTGGTAGAGTGCTAGCCTTAACGCTGAAGAGCTGAGGGATAGTGCCCAGGCCCAGAGTTCAAGCCCCACGACTGACAAAAACAAAACAAACAACGATTATCCCTGCATTTCCTCTTTTTCTAAAGATTATTTTGACTCATATGTATTCTTTGGGCAAGATAAATTTGAAGCCAGAGTTTAACACTCTGGTGCAAAATAGAATTGGTATCTGTAGTAGTCATTTGTGCATAGCTGTTAGATCAAAACATTTGACCGTGCATGAGCACATGTATGTACACACACAGTCACCAAGCTAAGGCACTGGTACAGTTGAAGGTGAAACTGGTTCAAGTCAGAGTGGAAAGAAAAGACACTGCTTGCCAACTGTGAATCAGAACATTGGTTTTAATTACAGAACCAATAGTTCTGTAATAGTCTACCATTTCTCTTGCTGCTATTCAAATATTGATTTCTAATTTCTTCATTATAACTTGATTGCTTTAATTTGTCCTTGTACAAAGATCATTTTTGAGATGGGAATCCAACTAGCAGCCCAGGCTGGCTGTGGGGCCGAGACCTTCCCGCCTCAGCTCCCAGGTGCTGACGGCTCGGCAGGTGCTCTAAGTGCTGACAGCTAGGCAGGTGCTCTAAGCAATACTTGGCCGCTTCCTGGGTGTGCACGTGGGTCCCACAAAGGAGAAAATGGGGCAGCAACTCCCATACTGTCCTGGCAATCCCTGTGCCTGGGCCAGAATAATAATGCTGTGGGCAGACAGTCTGGTCCCTGGCTTTACAGGGCACTTTTGATTCAAAAGACAAATTCGTTAAAGTGTAGGGGTGTATGTGTGTGTGTGTGTGTGTGTGTGTGTGTGTATGTGTTGGTACTGGGGCTCAATGTTTGCTCTTGGCTGGAACCAGTTGTAGCTCTTTGTTCAGCAACTGGAGATAAGGATTCTCTGGGATATACCTACCTCAGCTAGCTTCTGACTCTAACCTTCAGACACAGGCCTCTAGAGCAGGTAGGATCACAGCCTTGAGTTACAGGCATCCAGCTGAAAGGTTCTTTTTCAGTTATGGTTTTACAATAATGCTTTAGGGCTAAACAGAATCATAAAGCCTACTCCCTTAAGAATGCTTTGTGTTAAAGTACAATTTTAATACAATTGTGTTAAAAATAGAAAAATACCAAGTCAGGAAATAACTATTATTTGATGATAAACTTTTACCACAAACAGAAGTTATTGAAAACTTTGTTTGGTAGTTACAAAGATATCACTTTAAAACTCTCTTATGTAGGAACAATAACCAAATAGAAAAGTAAATGGGGGAAGGACAATAACCCTATCCAGGTATCAGTGAATCAAGCTTGTAATCTTAGCTACTCAGGAGGCTGAGATCTGAGGACTTCAGTTTGAGGCCAAACTGAGCCAAAAAGCCCATGAGATTCTATATCCAATTAACCATCAGAAAACCAGAAGTGGTACTGTGGCTCCAAGTAGCAGAATTCAAGCCCCATGGCTGACAAAAAGACAACCAAAGGGGGGGGGAAAAAAACACCTAACAAAACTATAGAATTTGTGATTTTTTTTTGTCATTTCTTGGGGCTTGAACTCAGGGCTTGGGTGCTGTCCCTGAGCTTTTGTGCTCAAGGTGAGTGTTCTACCACTTTGAGCCACAGCTCCACTTCTGGTTTGGGGATGGGTAACTGAAGATAAGTCTCATGGACTTTCTTGCCTGGGCTGGCTTTGAACGGTGATCCTCAGATCTCAGCCTCCTGTGTAGCTAGGATTACAAGCGTGAGCCACCAGCGCCCTGCATGTGAGAACGTTTTGTTGCAGAATTTACTCAGGAACATCATGACTCCAACAAAGAGGGACATCCAGTCGTTCCTCACTAAATTGGGGCTCACGTATTGCAGCTTCTCCATATTGTGGTCTTTCTCAGGATTTTGCGGAATATAGGTGTTTGTATATTTGATTTTAATTATTTTTGCCTAAGAATTTAAAATACAAAAATGTAATTCAAACGTATTGAACTATTATAGTATGCATTTCATCAGCAGATGAGTATCGTGTTGTACGCGTGGGAATGCAGCACACTGCTACTGCTTAAGTGAGATTGTACACGGCACACTATTGGCTGATGGACTCGAAGGTGCCCAACCACAGCACTGTGTTCTGTATCCTAGGGGCTGATTGGCTCCATGACCACAGATAGCATTGGCCTGCTTGCTCTCCTGCACTGTGCCCAGGCATTCAGCATCTGTCCTTGTCCATTTCACAGCGACATCTGATTGCTCTGCATAGTGTTGCTCTGTGGTGTTTTTGTGACATTTTAACAAAAGTTTGAATTTATTTCAAGCCCTATGATGCCACCCATTCTGTACCTTCTAAGGCCTGTGGCAATGAACTCAAACACCAGAGGAAGAGGCTATTATAGAAAAGGTGGAACTTCTCAACATGTTAAAGGCAAAAGGTATGCCGCTGTAGGCCTCCATTACAGGATCAACGAATCTGCTCTTCACTACATACAGAAAGACGAGAAGAATATCAGGCCTACAGCAATGACTGTTAACAAGACTGCAAAGAGGGTGGCCACTTCCCGCAGTAAGGCCATTGTGAGGATGGCGTCTGCATTGCTCCTGTGGATAAAGGACTGCAGGAACAGTGTCCCCCTGGATACCAGCGCCATCCCGATGAAGGCCAAGAAACGTGGAAAGCACAGACATTCACAATGGTGATGAGGATGAAGACGACGACAATGCAGAAGCAGGACGTGGAGTTCTTCTCCCACCAGACCAACCCCATTCAGCGCTAGCAAATTTCAAAGACACGCTGGACTGGAGAGCGTTTCTGTGCGTGGAGAAGCTGCCTCTGCGGCTAAAGCCAGAGCCAAGGAGAACGTGAGTGACTTGTTCAAATCCATCATCGAGCAAGGGGGCTGTGAGTCTGAACAAGTTTTGAAAATGGATGAGACAAAGTCAGCAACTGAAGAGGGCGCTGCACCACCAGCCGAAGCGCCTGGTGAAGCGGCGCCTTCGGAAGAGCTGCGACGCGCTGCCTGGCCATGCATCACCTTCAACGCCATTAGCACTGCACAGCCACATAAGTCATGGTCTTCATCACTCAAGCTGTAGTACGCTTCACTGGTGAGTACTTATATACACTTTTATGTTGTTAAAATTGTGCAGGCTTAAGAGAATAGAAACTGAGCACGGATGCGTTTATTATAAGTGTGGGAAAGGTTAATACGAGTGGGAAAGGCTTATAGGATAGTAGGAAGGGTTTATAAAGCCTTAATATGTGATATACAAATAATAAATATAATGCTACTTTGCAGATTTTCACCCATCACAGGGGTCTCTGGAACATAACTCGTAGGATAGATAAGGGATCACTGTAATTTGAAAGGGAGACAGAATCTGTAAAATAAATGGATTTTCTCAAATTCTTGGGATGACGTTTCCAATCAAAATACTAATGTGTTTTGGTAAACTTAAAACCTCAAGCACATGGTGCCAGCACCAGTAGCTCACACCTGTAACCCTAGCTACTCAGGAGGCTGAGATGTGAGCATTGTGGTTCAAAGCCAGGCTGGACAAAAAAGGCCCATGAGACTCTTATCTCCAATAAACCACTCAGAAAACTGGATGTGGTGCTGTGGCTCAAGTGGTAGAGCGTTCACCTTGAGCTGGAGAGCTGAGGGACAGTGCCCAGGCCAAGTTTAAGTCCCATGACAAAAAAAAAAAAAAAAAAAAAAAAAAAAAAACTCAAGCAAAATCATCCAGTCTAAAGGCACCACTGGCCTTTAAACAAAGGGCAGAGGGTCTGCTTGACAGGCCAGACTACCTTTGTAATCCTTGTCTCTCAATGAGCGAGGTGAGCTAACCACTGGAGACACCAACGCATGCAATCTGTGAGGCTGTGACCATCCCACTGTTAACAGTCTGGTAACTGGGTTAGGTTAGCGAACAGGTTATTACCCAGCCAGCAATCCCAGCCAACTTTCCCCTGGCTCCAGACCCATGCCATTTCTCTCATAGCAGATGAAAACTTCACTCAAGAGATGAACAAAGTCTTGAAGCGACTTAGCAGATCTAAATGATCCAAACATCTTTTGGAAAAGAGAGGCACAGGGCAGCTAGTTTAAGAGATCAGCAGCTGAACAAAACAGTAGACATTTTTTTTTTTTTGCCAGTATTGGGCCTGAACTCTAGGTCTGGGCGCTGTCCCTCAGCTCTTCAGCTCAAGGCTAGCGCTCTACCACTTGAGCCATAGCGCCACTTCTAGCTTTTTCTGTTTATGTGGTGCTGAGGAATTGAACCCAGGGCCTCATGCATGCAAGGCAAGCGCTCTACCACTAAGCCACCTTCCCAGCCCCAACAGTAGACATTTTTAAGTGAGGTTGTATAAAAAAGATTTCTGGAAAATAGTGGATTTTTATCACAAACTGCAAATGCTATTCACCACAAATGAGAGGAAGTCTTCCACATTCCAATGCGGTAGTTTTCCTACATCCCAAAATAAACAGATCAACATTGAGGCTTCGCCAGGGTGTCCTTACCAGCTATTGGCTGAACCAGCTGGTATTTTGGTTCACTCATAGGAGCACAGCTACAGATCAGCACCTACACATTATTTCTCTACACATTATTGTTCTCTCAAGTGTGAATTTCCATGTGTGTAATGAGGAGAAAAATCCATGTATTTCAATCATGTACCTCTGCTCGCTCTGCAAGTAAGAAATGCCTAGACATTCATTTTTCTATCACTGTCAGGAAAATGATCTGCCTACTGCAGTCCAACATAAAAAAGTTCCTGAGCACAGGAAGTCTGGATGCTACCTGAGGTAGAGCCCTTTAGGATGTCCCCAATCTTTGGGAATTTTTTTTTTTTTAAGAATTTGAGGTTTCAGCCAGGATAAGTAGAGATCTAAATGTGGATATCATGAGGTTTTCAAATGTCTATCTCTCAGGAAGATGAGGAATCCAAACTTCCTCATGAAACTTCAGGCTGAGCCAGGACCTCACTTCTGCTTCGGCTCTTACATGCTGTGTGCATTCTCTCGTGCCGGGTACAATTTGACAGCCGACCAAATCTTCTCCCACAGTTTTTGCAACCATACGGTCTCTCGATCTCATGAGTCTGCAAGTGAAGCAGGAAGTCTTCGTTGTTAGGGAAAGTTTTCCCACAATCTGGACACTTAAACATTTTCTCCCTGACGTGGATTCCTTCGTGTCGACTCCGATGACAATTCTGACGGAAGGTCTTACCACACTGAGAGCAGGAGTAAGGCTTTTCTCCTGTATGGATTCGTTCGTGCTTATTGAGGTTTGTTTTATGGTTGAAGCTTTTCCCACAGTGGCTACAGTCATAGGGTTTCTCACCTGTGTGAGTCCTTTGGTGGGAAATAAGATAAGAGCTTTCACTGAACTGTTTGCCGCACAGGGGACAAGTGTACCACCTTCTCGTTCTCCGATTACGAGTAAGGGAGATGACGCTGATGTCCACGTATTTGGAGAGCTCCTCCAGTGGAGTATCATTTTCAATGGTAACTAAAAGGTTTCTCATTTTCCTTTGCTGTGGAACAAGTGCATGTAGTTTTTCTTCTTGGCAACCCGGAAGTTGCTCAGGGAATAAGGAATAGTCTGTTCCATCACTATCTGAAGATTTTTCCCTCCAGTCTTCTTTCTGCAGATCTTCACCCACAATATCACTCTCATTGACTGCTAAAAGAGAGAATGATATAGTTTTGAGGTATATGACAACACTACAGAATAAAACAAGTCGGAATTCCTTATGAAATAATAACCTTGAAAGTCAGAGTCTGACAGGTAATCATTAGTGATCTTTTCTACTCTTTTTTTTTTCCTGCTGTTTTTCCAGTCCTCGTTGAACTCAGTTCTTCAGTCAAGGCTAGCGCTCTACTCTTTTGAGCCAAGCTCTGCTTCCAGTTTTCTGGTGGTTAACTGCAGATAATAATCTCATGGACTTTCCTGCCCAGACTGGCTTGGAGCCATGATCCTCAGATCTCAGACTCCTGAGTAGTTAGGATTTTAGTGTGAACCACCAGTGCCCAGCTACCTATTATTTATTCTTTGTTTGTTTGTAATACTTGGTTTTAACTCAGAGCCTTGTACTTGCTTGAGAAGCTACCAATAATGGCTCCTAGTCCTTTTGTTGTTAAGTTTTTCAAATAAGGTCTCATGCTTTTGTCTATGGCAGCTTCTAACCAAAATCACCCTACTTTCTCACCTAAGTAGCTGACCATGGACTGAAACTTCTGACACTGTGAACCAAAATAAACATCTCCTGCCTTTGTTTCTGTCAGGTATCCTGTCAGTCACAAAAAGCTGACTAACACATGGGGCTAGAACTTGCTCTGTTCTTCTTCCTTTCCATTTTCCTGGTTAATCATATTATTTTCCTAACTGAATTCCCGATCAGACTGTCTAGTTTTAGTGAAAAATTTACTCATAGTTTAAAGGGATTACAGCAAATTCATAAATCCATTTGGGGAAAAAAATGACTTTTTTTTATGAGGTTGAGTCATCCTAGCCAAAACCATGTTCTTTCCTTCATTCAAACCTTCCCAAGTTTTCACATAAATTACATATAATCCTTGTTTATCCTATTTATCTTACATGATTCCTTTGTACCTTTTAGTGATTACCCACTGCGGTTATGAACGATAATTTAATTTTACATCCCTTTGCCCTGCTAAATGCTCTTACTATTCACAATGAAATTTTAGGCATTCTCTAAGGTTTCTAGCTACACGAGTCTATCAATATAAATAGCGGAAGGTTTTATCTTATCTTTCCTTCAATGCCTAATGCATTTCTTTTTCACTTAACTGAATAACAGAAACACAAAGCTTAAAAGTAACATGAGGGTAGGTTTCCCAACTGTATTCCCAATTCGAGTGGGAATGTCTCCCATTAAAATACTGTTTAGAAGCTGGTGCTGGTAGCTCACACCTGCAATCCTAGATACTCAGGAGGCCAAGATCTGAGGATCGTGGTTCAAAGCCAGCCTGGGCAGAAAAGTCCCCATGAGACTTTTATCTCCAATTAACCAGCAGAAAACTGGAAGTGGAGCTGTGGTTAAATGATAAACACTAGCCTTTAGTGAAATAGCTCAGGGACAGTGCTCAGGCTCTGAGTTCAAGCCCCATGACTGACCAACCTCCCCCCACCCCCGCCGCAAAAAAAAGTAGTATTTATACAATGTTTGTGACTGATTCTAAGCCTAAACTATCAGTATCATGTTATAGGGAGAGAGAAGGGGTAGAGTAGGGGAAGGAAGAAAGGTGAAAATTGAGTCTCACAGCCCCAAGCAAATGTCTCAGGCACCAAAGCAAATGCCAGCTGTGTTGTCTGCAGCGGAAACTGTGATCCAAAATAAACACCTCCTTTTAAGTTGTTTCTCTATGTGTTTTCTTACACTGATGCAAAGCTGACTAATATATGGAGCAAGGGGTTCTCTGCTCTTCCTTTTCCCCCTTTCTAGTTAACAGCACTTATTTTTTCCAATTAAATTTATCACTGTTTAGCTCCAGTGGAAAAACATTAGTGCTACTGTTAAAGGGTCCATTATTAAAGTGCTTTTTTACAAAGACAAGAGATCTCTCCACTGACTGGCTCTAAGTATAGGGAAAATGGCCACCATAACTCCTCATGGAATAAAACATGTGTAGGCTCTGACATACAGAATTAAACAAAAAGAAAATGTGTGTGCAATTAGTACTTCAAAAGCTGCAGAGATGAAGGAATATGCTTGTACAAGAGCACACAATGTGAACACACAAAGGACTAAATTCTTACCTAACAATGTCATCTCCCCAATATCGTTCTTTTCCTTCTCCAGGGTGGAGTGATGAGCAGGATTCATGCTCACACATTCTTCTTGAGAATGAAATACATTCAAATCCTCAAAGACCACTAGCTCCTGAAAGAACAAGAGCCCCGCTTCCTTTTAGTAAACTGAGGTTTCTTGGTAGCCCTAGCAACAAAGACACAAAGATTAAAGGAAAGGATGATGAATTTATACCCTAATACAAGATAGCTCCTAACTCTCCTACTACAAGGACAGTGAGGCTTCCAGGAACCAGAAAAAGGGGAAAAGAGACAGTCAAGGAAACTAACTCTCATCAGGGGTTATACATGGTAAGGCTGCAAGAACAGAAAAGGTGATGTACCTCAAGATAACCAAAAAAAAAAAAAAAAAGCCAAACCCACCTCAGAGTCAGCTTCAAAACATAGAGACACAGTCTCCTGTTTCTGCTGGACTCCTTCTCTGGGCGGAATCTTCACTAAAGGATGAAGATGAACTACAGAAAGAAGTTGTAGTTAGTGAAAAACCCAAGAGACTATTAAGAGACTATTATAGATACCTTGCCTACATCTTCAGGCCAAGCTATCCTTGCTCCTCTGGCAGACAACTCACAGCTCTTTCTGATCCTGTAAGCCGTGACAGAATTGAAATGGCCACGTTGAGTAAACCTAGGGCCTTCAATCTAGGATGGGAATTTCTCACTATGAATAGGATTCAACTATCCATGTTTCAAATTTCCCAAGAAAATCATCATAGAAGAGCTGGAGAAGCAAAGTATAATGATACTTTTAGGAAGCAATATTTTTTTTTATGTATATGGGTTCTGAGGCTTAAACTCAGGGCCTTGCAGTCTCACTCAGAGCGGATGTTCTACCACTTGATATACCTCCACTCATAAGCTTTTGTGGGTTAACTGGAGATAAGATTCTCAGACATTTCTGCCTGGGCTGAGTTCAGACTGGGATTCTAAGATCTCAGCTTCCTGAGTAACTAGGATTATAGCTGACAGATTTCTTTTTTTCTCTTTTGGTCATGGGGCTTGAACTCTGGACTTGAGCAGTGTTCCTCAGATCTTCACCTCAAGGCTAGCACTCTACCATTTGAGTCACAGCGCCACTTCTGGTTTTCTGGTGGTTATTTGGAATTAAGAGTCTCATGGACTTTCCTGTCTGTGCTGGCTTTGAACCGGGAACCTCAGATCTCAGTCTTCTGAGTAACTAGGGATTACAGGCATGAAGGCACCCAGCAGATTTTTTTTTTAAATAATGATATCTCAATGTATTAAAATAGGCTCCTTTTGCTGAACACCAGTGACTCACACCTGTAATCCTAGTTACTTTGGTAGGCTGAGATCTGTAGGATTGAGGTTTAATGCCATGAAAGTTCACTTGATTCCATCTCCAAAATAAACCACCAAAAAGCATGGCTGAGGTGTGGCTCATGCAGCAGAATGTCAGCCTAGCAACTGTAAAGCCCCAAGTTCAAACCCTAGTACAAAAAACAAAAACAAAACAAAAAAAAATAGTGTTTTTTTTTTTTAAACTATCCACTATCCTAATTTAAACTCATGGAAGCCTATCTCCCATTACTTAAGGGCCGCCTTTCTCTTCTGGCGAAACAATCACATATTTCTCACCTCTGTTCTGGTGGCTTGAACTCGCATCCTTCATAATAAGGAAGGTTTCCTTGACTTTCTGACCAGGCTGGACCAGGTTTGGCTTGGGCAAGAAGTTAAGGAAGTGATACATCACCAGCTGCTGAATGGTCTTCGACTCATCTGTGGCATCCTCAAGTTCTTGATCCAGCCTGGAGTCTGGAATAACTCTTAGTATAAAGGATTTCTTTTGCTTTGGGGATGTAGGAACTACTTTTGTAGCCATTATGGCTTGCAAACAAAAGCACTTGTTGGGGGGTTGGGCAGCGCTTCTAGAGTCACATCTTAATGAAGGAAATCTGCCAGAGAGCCAACCTGCAGACACAGAAACCACGGATTATCCACAAGGCAAAGTCATGACTGTGGTCTAATATACAGTTAGGGTGACGACATCTAAGACTTAAACCAGAAAAGAAAGACAACTCGGGTAGAGCGATCATAACCTGAAATGGAAGGTATCTGATCAGGATACTTATAGGAAGTCCTTAAAGGAAGACTTTTGAGTATGAAAACCAAACCTTAAGAACCAAGCCAAAAGGAGCAAAAGCAGCCAAGGGCCACCGTCACGGGACATACAACGTGCCAAATCCACTGTGTGGAGTCGTTTAACCCATGCTTGTACAAAGAGTAATGGTTTTAAAGACCCAGGAAATCTGAAGGAAGCCCGTGGGGGCTTTGGATGACGCACATCTGACGTCACGCTGGGACCTGTGAGGTGTCCACCCACTGCCCAGCCGGCTGCTCCCCACTACCAGAGCCCTGATGCGTGGGGCAGGGGATATCACACCGGGGCTCACCGGGCCAGGACCATTCTGGACCTTCTCTGTTCGGCCCAAAAGTACCTGAGGGCGACACCCGGCCAGCGGCACCGCCTGGGCGAGGGCTCGGCCCCAGCCCGCCCCTAGCCCACCCTGCCCACCCCCAGCCCACTCCCATCCCACCCTGCCCACCCCCAGCCCGCCCCCAGCCCGCCCCCAGCCCACCCTGCCCATCCGAAGCCGCCCGGGCCCGGTCCCCGCCCTTTGCATCGCTCACCTCCAGGAGCGATCTGTTCCGGCCGCTCGCGGCAGCCAGGCTCGGCTCGGCTCGGAGAGAGACCGGGAAGCCAGGCTGGAAGGGCACGCCCTCCTCGGACGCCGGGGCCGCACTGCCTTCTGGGAGGCCTGGCGCTTCCGCGTGTGACGCCACATCCGGCGGCGCGCTCCCGCGTCGGAAGCCGGGTCTCCGCGCTGGGAGCCCGCGGGGCGGAGGCTCGCGCCCGGTGCGGCCC